GACCATCAACAACTGAGCTTCCCGCAGCAGCCGCCCGATGGACGCCCTTGGGCGGCTCGGTGCGGTATGGTGGGTGGTAGTAGAACTCGGGGATGCCGATGTTGCCCAGGTGCTGGGCCAGCAGCTGCTTGTCGGCACTCGACTGGCGCGCCGCCTCGGCTGCTGCACTTGTCAAGGCGGTCACCAGCTGCTGCACCTCATCTGACACACACCCACACAGACACAGGGTGCGATGCGGTACGTGTGTGGATGGATGTATGGATGTATGGGGGGGGAACGGGGGTGTCCTTATGTAAGTGAAGGCAGCCCAGATGATCCCCCATTGATCAGATCTCAATGTGCGCATGCCTACTGACCCGACTTACTCGACCGAATGACGCGAAACAAGACGGGCTTATCATGCGACTGACTGACCTCACTTCCTCGCTCCCTCTCTGTCTCTCACCCACTCTCCAATTCCCTCGCTACATCGATACGTGTACATGCACATTCCCGTCCTCACCTCCTTCTTGCTTGAGCAGCAGTGCCGTTGGTGTGGGGTGGTAGGCCGACACCTTGTTGAGGTCCGACTTGCGCACCCACACCAGACCCAGCTCACGCGCGAAGCTGATGAACCGCTTCTGAGGCGGCGTCAGCTTGCTCACATTCATCGGCTGTCCACACACACGATAGATCAAAGAGTGCATACACATGAGTAGCGAGATAGATACATGCTTCCCGCGCTTAAGTACCTGTCCGATTCTGGTTTGTGTGAGAGTGAATGCGACGACGAGTGAGTCGTTGAGCTGGAAGCCGCTCTCGTCCTCCTGCTCCACCATCCGCAGGTACTCGCCCACCAGCGACGCCAGCTGCTTCCGCATGTCCTTGAGCATGAACTGGAAGGCCACCTGGCTGATGCCGCCTGTCATGACGCCACGACCACCCTCGTCATGCGTCCTGACATCAGCCAGCACGATCCAGCCATCCATCCATGTTGCACAAGACACACAATCGAGGCTTCTTCTGTCATGTGTGGCTGCAGATGTCCGTGGCTCACCCATCCATGACGACGAGTCTCTTCCTCTGGAGGACGTTGATGAGGTCCATGTTGTTAGGCGCCCGGGCGGTCCGCGGCCGGTCGCTCATCTGCAGGGGCTCGTCACGCGTGCTGTCCGTCGCACGGTCCTCACTCACCAAATACGCCAACAACTGAATGAACGCACACACAGTCATCAGTCAGGGGTGACACACACTGGTGTTTGAGCGAGTGAGCGTGTGCTTACTGCCTGCAGTTTCTTTGAGGCGTGTTCATGCAGCTGATGGCGCTCCGGCGAGTGGCGGGCGGACGGGAGGCGGGGGAGAGGCGTCATCAGGCCCTCCTCACCCAACCTGCCGGAGAGGGAAGATACATAGATTACATAACATGCATCCATGGATCAGTAATCCCCTTCCCGTACAGCTGCGTTGTCCGTACCCCTCCGAGATGTTTTTGGTCTTGAGGGTCTCTTGGAAGGTCTTGTTGAGCACAAACAGGGACATGACCTCGTCCCCCGGTTCATCAGGCTTCTTGGCCGCCCCTCCTCCCGCCGCACTCGCCGCCTCCCCCCCGCCGCCCTTTTTGTCCTTGTCCCCCTCGCCCCTCCTGTCCTTCTCACCGTCCGCCTGCTTGTCCTTGCCCTGCTGCTTGGCTGCCGTGACCGCCGCATTTTCTCTAGGCGGCTGCAGCAGCCTCCAGCGCTTCATCTGCAGCATTGCCTCCTTCCTCGCCGCCTTGGCCTCGCTGGTGTCGCGGTGCCAGAAGGCCACCAGCTTCTCCTGCATCGTCGCCTGCACATACAGCAGTCGCATCACCAGATTGCGGGCCAGAGGGACGAGCGAACGGAACACGGCCTGCACGACGGCGGGATCTCGGTACAGCTTGCTGATCTGGGGGTCCTTGAGGGTGCTGAGGAAGTCAAACAGGTCGTGGTCCATGGCCGGGGATGCGGTTGATGGACCAGGATCGAGGCCGGAGGGACTGCGGACTCCACGGGATGGCTCCATCGTCCCTCGCAGTCCAAGATCGTCTTCTGACGCCTGTCGCTTCTAGCTCGCAGCCCGATCGCTGGCCCCAAAAGAGGAGAGGGGCCGCTTCCCCTTCAGCACCGTTGCTCCGCGATGTGGCTCTGTCTGGCCCTTACCGCTGTTGCCATTGCACATTGTGTCAGCGCAGAGCAGCTGTTGTCTTTGCAGCAAAGGCCCAATCTCGGCCAGCCAGCGCCAAGTCCTCAAGAGGCAGCTGGCAGTGCAGGTGGCGCAGGAGATGATCCGAGCATCGAACGGTCGAAGAAGGACAGCAAGGCTTATCGCATGACAACGCTGAGTAACGGCATTCGGCTGATGTCGGTGTATGACAATCGCACAATGGATGCCGCCTTCGCCATCGCAGTCAACGTGGGATACTTCAGGTGGGTGCACAATGCATGTGTGTATGGCCATGTCAATGCATTGCAAATCGATGTCTATTACATTGCATGGTGTGCTCGCCTGCAGTGACCCTCCCGAGCTGCCTGGATTGGCTCATCTCATGGAACACATGGTGGGTGGAGAGAGGAGAGCAAAGAGAAGCGGCTGTCTGCCTGTGTGTGGCGCAGATGTTTCTGGGCAGCAAGGAGTTCCCAGCAGAGAACGAGGTCGATGAGTTCCTGTCGAGCCATCGCGGTTCGGCCAATGCTCGCACGGAGGCAGAGGCCACCGTCTACTTTGCTAAGGTGGGTCTGGAAGGGCTTAATGGCAGCCTGGCCCGCTTCAGCGCCGCCTTGAGTGAACCGCTATTCAACACCACTGTCTACGAGAGAGAGGTGAGGGCCGCCATAATTCGCGTACTAAGTGTGCCTGCCTGGGTGGCTGTGTGTGTCAGGTTCATGCGGTCGACGAGGAGCATCGTGAGAATCTGGTGAATCAGGACAGGGTGGTGTCTGAGCTGGTCAACCAGCTGGCGGACGAGCGGTCGCCGCTCCACCACTTTGGAACGGGCAACCTTACACTCCTCTATGACGTGCCAAAGGCCAAGGTACACATACACACGCGCACATACACACACGCGTGAAGCCGGGAGGGAATGGATGACTCACCTGTCCTGCTCTCTCAGGGTATCGACATGGCTGCAGCTCTGCGTGACTTCCACCGAAGGTTCTACTGTGCTGAGCGGATGACCGTCGTTCTCAGGCACGCCGCATCACCAAGACGCAAAGAGAGCCAGCCATCGGTTGCATCAAATGTCTCTCTTGCCATGCAGGTGTGGCTTGTCGCTGGATGAGCAGCACCTTCTCATCGAGAGCCGTTTCCATGACATCCGCAGCGGCACGTGCGAGCAGCCTCGCAACTTCCAGAACCCATCACCCTTTGTAGGAGCCTCTGTGGGCAATTATGTTCGCATGGAGGCGCGCTCGACTTGGCGGCCGGAAATGATACTGACCTGGGCGGTGCCGTCGCTCAAAGAGGTAAATATCCAATAATGAGCAGATGGCTATCTAAAGGGGGAGCGAAAGCATGCACTCTGTGTGTGTGCCGTATGCATGCAGCACGAGAGTTGGTAGCCGTTTGCGTACGTGCGGTACATGCTCGACTATGGGGGGGCGGGCGGCCTGCAGCACCGGCTGAGACAGACAGGTCTCGTCTTCAATGTGGACGTGTCTGACAGCACCAGCTCGGCAGCCACTCTCATCTTCATCAGACTCCGCCTCTCCACCAAAGGCACACAGCTCTGCAAGGTGACAGCCCACCATATGGATGTGGTCATGTCTCTCTACCCCTCTGTCTTCGCAGAGTCCACAAAATGTGGGTGATTGTGTAGCCCCTGTCTTCCGGGCCCTCGAGCTGCTCCAACGGCCGGAGTCACAGGCAGGGGGCGTGCCGAAGTGCGGTCTGTGCTCTCTGGACTGCCTGAAGTCTGACGACGATGTCTCATCGCTTGAGCAGGCGTTCTTCGAAGCCTTCGGGCAGCTGCTGGATGTCTCCTACAACAACGAGGTGGGATCGGTGGGTGCACAGATGACTGAAATTTCATGTTGGTGGTCTCAGAGTCGGGGGATTGGCTTTGCTCTGCTCGTTGACGTCTTGTCTGTCTCGGCAGGAGGAGTTCGCTGCAGTCGACGCATTGGCTGACGCAGCCGCAAACCTATTCTTCTATCCAAAGGAGGTGCGTGTACACGAGAATGCATGGCTTGGTAGCGCACACCACTTTTACTCCGTCTGCATGTGCCAGGAATGTTTTTCAATCGGCCATAGGGTCCACTCGGAGCGCGTCAACACCACTCTGGTCAAGGAAGTGCTCGGGCAGCTGACGACCGACCGGTGCAATGTCATATACGTCGACAACCACTTTGACCAGTCGACCAAGGAGCATACGTCGCCCGACATGCAGACCTTCCTCTTTGGCCCTTATGGTGTCCGCTATACGAAGCAGCGCCTCGACGTGAGGCTGCCTCCGCCCGAACCGGCAGACAGCCCCTGCCTGCCGATCAACCAGACGACCTCGCCATGCCTGCCATGCCCACGTGAGCTACAGAGCAACGCATCACACACACCAGTCTTTTTTGCATGCCGCTGGTGTGTGCGTGTCCTCAGGTGTATCATGTGTGCCTCGCAACATGACTGTGATTGATCCCTATGAGGACGACGAGTGCCCCAGCTCCGAGATGGCCCCGCCGTGCAATGTGCTTCACTCTGACGGCCTCATCGTCTGGTGGAAGGGACCAGGTAGGACACACACGGACACAAATGAAGCGAGCCATGTGTTGTGTGGGCAAAAGGATGTGTGGATGGATGCAGCCAGATTCCGCACGCCAAACATCGATGGCCGCTTTCTGCTGCGCCTCAACAAGACACACATATCACCCAGGTGAGACAAGGGCTAAGTAAGATACAGAGGCATGCGGTATGCACAGCAAGCAGAGACATGGGATGACTTACCTGTCTGTGTTACGTTGCAGGATGGCTGTCTACGCCGTATTGCATGTGTACTTGACGACGGAGGATGCCACACACGCCATCGCAGACAAACTCACATGCGGTTCGCTGATCCATGAATCCATCTGTGGGCACACACCACAGATCACGTGTCTCTCTCATCCCCCTTCCAGAGGCTGGTGTCTCCTGGGATTATGAGTTTGGATGCTTTACGCTCTCTGCATGGGTCAGTGGGTCATGGGTGACATAGCAATCAAGGCACCTGACCGTGGTATGTCCCTGTAGGGCTACGCTGAGCACTTCTGGGAAGTTGTGTCCACTGTATCCTCCCTCTTTGGTGGCGTGCCAGACCCAAACCCGGACACATACAGCCGAATCCAGCTCATCCTCGATGAGGCAACCGAACAGACGGGACCTCCAACCATCAACCCTCTTTGCGCTGTGTGTGAACAGATGATGGGAGCCCTTCAGGCGGCCTCCAGCGAGTCGCTCTATCAGATAGCCGAGGACCTGCTCACCGACATCGAGATGCCAAACAAATTCTCAAACACCGCTCTGCTCGAGGTGCTAATTGACATGGATGCGAAAGGAACAGTCGAGCATCCTTGTTGTCTATTCAGGAGGTGACGAAGCTGTCCCAGATGCCGGTGGAGAGCGTCTACGAGGATTACCGCACATATGTTCAGAACGTGGCGACCCGGAGTTTTGTCGATGCCCTCATCGTTGGCAACATCGACATCGAAGACGTCAGTGAGACAATTAGACCTCTGCTGCCGGACCGTCTACGTCTGTCTTGCTTCGACTCCTTTAGGCTGTGGAGTTGTCTGAGGCAGTGGCAATCAATGTGCGACAAGCGCCAGTCAGCTTGCCGGAGGCAGTCAACTTCTCGGTGAGACAGATAGGTGACGGCCAGTGCGATGCGCACTTGCACGTCCGTCTCTATGCGTGTGTGGTCAGAGTTGGATGCCCAACAACTCACTGGAGCTTCGCCTTTCGAACCCGATTGAGGGCGACAGCAACCATGTGATACTCAACGCATACCAGTGGGGCATTCCTGGTGAGCAGGAAAGCAGAATAACAAAATCACGAAGCTTCCTTCAGGCATCCATGTCTACGCTGTGACACTTGCCATGTGCGCAGACTTCGGACAGCGAGCGGTCCTGGGCATCATTGGTAGGCAGCCAGTAATCATTTAAACACGTGGGCTGCGCTGTGGTGTGTCCACAGACACGCTCATTGCGACACCCGTCTTCGAGAGCCTGAGGACAGAACAGCAGCTGGGATACATCGTCAGCGGTGGCGTGGGAGGGGGCTTCCCCATACTTGAGCTGCGGATCATCGTACAGGTAGGTACGCGTCCATGTCTGCATCCCCCCGCGTGGACGGACGTGTCATGTCTCGTCCATTGTGACCTGCAGGGCTCGTCAAAGGATCCCGATGAGATGGATGAACGCATCGAGGAACTGCTCGCACAGGTGCGGAGCAAATGGGCCACGATGACGATGGCCGACTATGCAATGGAGAGAATGGTAGGCAAGGTCCAGGCAAACGCTGGACACTCACATCCAGACGTGCATGTTGCATGCTGACAGCAAGCGGTGCAAGAGCTGCTGCCGTATGACGCGTCGAGCGCCAAGCATTTCAGCCGTCTGTGGGGCCCTGTCTCCACTCACAGTCTCTGCTTCGGGCTGCAGCTGGTACGGACAAGCACACACAGACACACAGAGTGAATGACGTGTACGCGTCCTTCGTCAGGGCGAGATAGCATTCCTCTTGCATTCCTCTTGCGGGAGAGCAAGAGCCCTGCTCTGCTGAATGAGGTCATGACACTGATGACCGAACCGTCACCGATAAGGCGAAAGATCTCAATCAAGGTTCGTGTCTGGTCCGCTGACAAGGGACACCACACGTCGATTCTCCATGCCGTGTCGGTTAGATATTCGGTGGCGGCAAGGACGTCAAGAGAACGAAGCCATTCGCCGATGTGGAGAAAGACACGTAAGCACCCATCCATGCAGCTGATGCCGCAGAGGAGCACGGAGGACGCGTGTGTGATTGGCATTTTTGATCAGGCAGGTTCTCTACTCCCTTGACAGACAGGAGCTCTTAAAGCTGTACCGAAGTACACACACAGCTGGCCAACACTTTCCAACACATTGCCGTCCTTGCCCACACACGGAAGGATGATATCCTTCCCGGTTGCAGATGACGGTCTGTATCCCGCCGAGGCCAAGTGCTATGTGGAGGAGACATCGGTGGCCCCGCTCATGCCTGCACTCTTCTTTGAGATACTCCCAGAAGGATTCATCAGAAAGCTGCTCAACAAGAAGAAAAAGAAGACTTCTGACCCGACGACGGGCTTCCTGGCCAACCTGTTCGCTGCGGCACCAACCACAACAAGCACAACGACTACCACGACCACGACAACAACCCCCGCGCCGGCCAATGGTACATCGATCGGTGCGTCAGTGTCAACATCGCAGCTTGGCATCATGATGGACAGTCAAAAACAAAGGGATGAGACGTCGGCAGACACGAGCCTGCCAGAGCAGCAGCCGCAAGGGCAGGTGGAGAGTGAGCACCCCTCTGACCCGCCACTCCTCGACGACATGTTGGCCACGTCTCTGCTCTCTGTCGACAATCCAAGCCTCGATGCCAGATCAAGGCGGGCAAGACGGTCGTCATTCCTGCAAGCGACCCAGCGACGCCTGGTCTCTCCATCAGGAAGCGTCAGTGAATGGTGGAGACATGGCAGAGCCGCCCCGAAAGCAGGCAGCGGCAGGAAACACCGAACCGAGAGGGCCGTCATCCATCCAAGAGGCGACGATGACGGCGACCTCGGGATGGGAGCATCAGAGCATTTAAATGGTGTGTTGAGAGAAATAGGTACATAGCAAGAGAAAGACGGCACGGCCAGTAGATGCTTCATGGATCGGGTATCGTGGTGTCTGTCTGCAGGCATGGACCGGGGTCAATTTGAGTTTGAGGATGAAGCAGGGGCGGCCACGCATCCACCTGTTGGTGGCATGCCTCGTCTATCGGGGCCGCTGCATGCAGTGATGGAGTCATTTCAGGTGACGCAAGCCGACAGACACAAACAGAGCATTCACCCTGTTGTACTGGGTCGCAATGCATGCAGGTTCAGAATCTTTCTCATCGCAAGGTGAAGAGGAGGCGGCGAGAGAGGAGAGTGGGAGGCGTCTCGCAGCCGATAGAAGACAACAAGCGCCAGAGCAAGGTCAAGGGCGCACAGCCGCAGTACAAGCTTCCACCGAGATAGAATGATGTTGCTGCATGGGAGGGTAAGGTATACACGTAGATACTGTGTCTCTGTGCTATGTGTCCTGACTGCACAACTGCTCACATACACTGGACTGGGGGGTAGTTGTAGTTGCCTGCCAGGCAGTGCGCCAGATGTATTGGCATTCCATGCATTCACGTCCATTCGTTGGTGGAACAAGTCGTCATAGAGAACACCCAATAACACATGCGCGAAGATCGTCTGCGAGACAAGCTAGAGGCTATCTCGTGACGTCTTAGTCCAACCACACACAAGGACCAATGTACGGCCTTGTTGCAAAGGGAGACACATGCACTTGTCTCCTCAGAAGAGGGCTGACCGCTCGTTGATCGCCACAGGCTGCGGCTCGTGCATCGCCGTCGGGCACCATCCCGACGACCGCATTGCATGGTACCTCGCGATGCCCCTTGTCGCATGCGCTGGCTCACATCGGCCCAGGTTGATGTCCAATCCCACCCAGCCTCGCACGTACTCAGCATCATCCACTCCCAGGTCTTTGGGATCACACGCCATCCAGTGCTTCACTTGCAGTGGGTCGACCTTCCTTAGGATGGATTTGAGGGGAGCCTGGGGACTCTTGGCTGAGCCTGTGCTGCCTTGCTGCGGACCCACTGGCCGGCCCTTCAGCGCCTAGCTCGGTGAGGTGAACAGTCTGCCGAACTGCCGCGCGAAGCGACCGAAGCCCCAACTCTCCCATTTGTTGTCTCTGCACTGCTTCTCCCATTTCAGTTGCCAGTATTGTGCGTGCGGGTCTGTATGGAGGCACACAGAAAGGACACGGCACAGCAGGAGAGATGAGTCACCGGCGACCGTGGTGATTGTGGTGATGAGACTTACCAAGCTCTTCGAGCGGGACCGTTTGAGGAAGTTCGTCGACATCGTAGGTGCGGATCTCACTGATGGGCACAGGCCCGATTGGCCGCTTGTCTGTTCCATGCTCATACATGGCAAACCGGACGCCAGTCTTTTTAGTCTCCTCGATACAACTGCGTACACACGGAGAGGGAGGGAGGAAGGGAGACGCGTGTGTGGGCCGTCATGATATGTCTCTCTCTCTTGAGTCTCTTGTCGTGCCCCCTGCTTACCATTCCTGGGAAGCGTACATGTTCTGGAGCTCCTGCAGCACAAGTGGGAAATCCATGATGTCTTGACCCGCCTCCACGGCCGCATTGTAGACGTCTCTGTAGAGGTCTTTGCCCATATCCAGCCAGCTCCTAGGTGCCGGCTGCTCGATGTCCGCGCGACTCGATGGCGATGACCCGCCGCCTGATGTGGTCTGTGTGCCGCCTGACGTCGTCTGGTTGTTGGTCACGAGGTTGGGGGACTCGGGCGTCCTTTTGTGTTTGTGTGTGCGTCCGTAGGTGGACGTGTCCTCGGGCTTCATGCCGGGCTTCATGCCGTTGCCACTCTGCTGCCGCTGCTGCTGCTGCTGCTGCTGATGCTCGGGTGCCTTCCCCTCGGCAACCTGCTCCCGTGCCAGCGCCCGCAGCTCATCGAGCCCCTTCTTAGCCTGGTCGCTCTTGCCGTAGAAGCGCGATGGCGTGGTGGAAAGGCGCTTGTCGGGCCTGGAGTACTCGGGCAGCAGCTTCCCCGACGCCGGCCCATAGACGTTGGAAAAGATCTTCTTGGCCTCGAGCTTCTTGAGGGCGGCATTTCTTCGATCCTCGGCGCCCTTTGGCACCTCTGTCTCCTTAATTGTGACCTTACTGTGCGCGCAGACGACCTCCATGGGTATCGTACTGGGGCTGGCAGGCACCTTCTCGAGCGTCGTGGCCCACGGGTGCTTCAGGGACGTGGCGGCGTCCATGGCATCGTTGACAGACGGCCCGGCAGCCGGGGTACCCGAGAGCGATGGTGCTTTAGAGACTGGGACTGGTGCGTGGTGGATGCTGTGGTCTGTGTCGTCCTCTTTCTGGTCACCGAAGAGGACTGTCTCCACGTAGAGCTCAATCGTTTGGTCGAGCAGAGTGTTCTCGTCGAGCAGAGTGTTCTCGGCGGACTCCTCGCCCTTCTCAGCGTCCTCTTCAGTCTCAGACTGGGTTCGTGACTTGACGGTGACCTCCTTGACTGTGAGGCACACGGCCTCCTCTGGTCCCAGCTCCTCGGCCAACTGCTCCTCCTCAGAGTCTGCACTGAGGCCCGAGTAGTCGGAACCTCTGAGTCGTCTGAGTCGTCATCCCCATGGTTTGGGGCGACTTTGTGCCAGCTTGCTCGGGGGCCGTCAGGCCGTGGGGTGGTGCGTGTCACGGTCTGGTGCTGCGTCGTGGGCTCCTTGGGCACTTTTTTGCGATGGGGCGCTGCGGTGGGGCTGGATGGCAGTTTGCCGTTCCGACCGAGCTTGGGGCAGAGGCATGACCCAACACTAGCCAGTCGTTTAGAGAAACGCTTGCGAAACATGACTGGTGGCGGAGAAAGTCGCCGAACTGGGGGCTCGGCTGCGAGCTAGCCAACTCATGCTGCCTCAAAAAGGAAGTGAAGCGTTGCTGCGCGCGTTTAGATAAAGGACTGGTCAGAGATCGCTGCCGACAGATCCATTCATGCAACTCAGTCCCACATACATGTGTTGGTTGGCTCAGACCAGTTTCTTCCGCCAGTCCAGCAGGGCGTCCACATCGTCCTCGTCAGCGTCCTCATCCTGGTCTGCCCGTCTTGGCTGCATCACCGCCGGCCCTCTCTGTGGCGCCGCTGGTGCCACTGCTTGTCTGTCTTGCTGCTTGTCTGGCTGGCTGTCTTGTGCTTGTCCAGGGTCGCCCCGCCGCTTGGCACGCAGCTGCTGCAGGCGCTCGAATCGACTCGCGTAGTCCCTGATGGATCCGACACGATCATTGCTTGCATGCCATGCATCAACCAGCTCAGCTGGTTGTGTTGTGTGTATATATGTGTGGGTGTGTATGTATGCTCACTTTTGAAGCGAGATTTGCTCTTCCAGATCGTCGGCCGCTTTCTCTTCGTCTTTCCTGTGCTGCATCCACTCCTGCACACAGAGACACACATGACATGAGCAGCTGATGCAGTCGCGATGGTCTGACTGAGTCTCGGGCTCCGACTCCGAGTAGGTCGTCGGCAGCTCCGCGGCGTCCCCGTCCCTTGGGGCAATCCTGCGGCAGCTTGCTCGGGGACCGTCGAGCGGTGGGGCGGTTCGTGTCGTCCGCTGCTGCGTCGAGCTCTTTTGTTCTGTCGCTTCTGCAATGGGGCTTTTCTTCGGTTTGCGCTTTCGGCCGAATTTGGGGCACAGGCGGGCACCAACGTTGGCCAGCTGTCTGCCAAGCTGACGTTTTGCCGGCATCACAGTGGTTGCTGACGTGGAAAGCAAGAGGAAGGAAAGGGTGGAAAGGGGAGAGAAACTGGGGGGAGACGGGCTATAATGAGGAAGTTGACAAGGTAATACGATGTGTCTATACCGAAGGCGAACAATGAAGCTTCGCTTCTGCTATTTTGGAGTGCAAGATCAGAATGCGTGGACGATCTACTAGATCAGAATGCGTGGACGATCTACTATCTTGGCCAATTGAGTAGCTCGCATGACTGTCCCCCTCCCTCCCCTCTCAATTTTCCTTCTCTGCATGTCAAGCGTTCATCCCTCGAGTGCCCTCTGCATGTTAACATGTTCAATCCGGTTTGGTCCCGCGGTTACCCGTGGTTTACATATGTACCCACCCATACACTCATGCGTCATGTAGTGTTCATGACGGCAGAGTCGTGGTCATGGAACTTATGCGTGCGGGTCAGTCCAAAGCCAAAGGTGCCAGAAAGAAAATGTCGCAAACCTCAGCCATGCAGTCAGTCAGTCAGACAGTCAGACAGTCAGACACGCAGTCATTATGTATGCGACGTGTGTTTCCCTCCTCCCGACATATAGGCAGGTCAGCCCCGGGCATCCAATATCTAAAGCTGCAGGCAGTCAAAACGCCGTTCATGCACTCCGGAGACACGCGCGCATCCAGCCAAGCACTACAGGTGCAGGCAGGTTGGTGCCACGTCTCGTACGGCAAAAGGATAGGTCGGCCGGACGAGATACGAACTGGCAAGCATAAGGCGCGGCAACGCAGCACGGCACTTACAGATGCAGGCGAAAAAGTCCTGCGAAGAAACAGATATGGTACAGACACGCACACACGACACACAACACACGCACCTACTATGTAGTCAGTCCACACATACTGATTCGACGTGTCGAATTTTGAAAGCATCTCTCACTTCACATAAATGGCGTGCATCTGCCTGTCAGTCCGTCAAGTGAGGCATAGCGTGTCGCTCATGTGCCCCACAGTGACGTGGCCTGCGAAGAAACAGATATGGTACAGACACGCACACACGACACACAACACACGCACCTACTATGTAGTCAGTCCACACATACTGATTCGACGTGTCGAATTTTGAAAGCATCTCTCACTTCACATAAATGGCGTGCATCTGCCTGTCAGTCCGTCAAGTGAGGCATAGCGTGTCGCTCATGTGCCCCACAGTGACGTGGCAGGCCTGCTGCACGCGATCCACAGTCAGCGGCGAATGCCACAGCAGCACATCGCCGGTCGACTCATCTGGTGCACTCACACCGCGCTCCTTCCTCGCAGCCCTGATCGATCAACCACACCATCCACTCACTCCACAGACTCGGTGTGTTGTGTCCTGTTGTGTTTGACGGGAGGGTGTGTGGGTGCTGACTCGATAGCAGCCTTGACGGCGCCGTACGCGGCTCTTGAGAGGATCATGGGCGGCTCACCGGACGCCTTGCTGCGGAGGATGCCCTTGGGGAACGGACAGTCCTTCAGCAACTGCATCCACATATGCACAGGCGCATGGTGTGTGTGTGGTTGTGGTTGTGTGCGTGTGTGTGTGTGGCTCACGTACCTCCACATTGAAGGAAATGGGTATATCGAGTGAACATGGCGGTTTGTACTCCCATGTGCCGTTGGAAATGGTCTCACCGCCGAGCCCGGTCAGCACCTGCAGGCATCGCACAGCAAAGCAGAGCAGCCAAAAAAGGCAATAAGCAACAGAGAAACGTCCCACACATCCGTCCATCTGCAGGCATGCATTCATGCTTCCGTGCTACTTACTTCTTCTCGGAGGAAATACCCGACGCCCATGATGAAGCCGCCCTCAATCTGCACACACACACTCACACACACACGCCGTACGTGTGCATGAGCATGTGTGTGTGTGCAGGCATGTTCTTGTCTTGTCGTGCTTCATCTCATTTCCCACCTGCCCGATATCAACGGCTGGATTGAGACTCTGGCCACAATCGTACACCAAGTCAGCCCTACACGACCAACACAACACACGCATGACATGACATGAGACACAGCCAGTCTCGTGTCCTGCCTTTCGACTCCCTGTGTACCTTCTCAGTTCCACCTCGCCCGTGAGTACGTCTATCTCGGCCTCCACGCAGCACGCCCCGAAGTTGAAGTAGGACGAAGGGTACTTCCACCACTGGCCGCCCACACCCTCATGCACACCGGACGTGCCGGGCGCCGCGAAATAACCTACACATACGACACACACACGGGACGAGTACGTCCATTATCACGCGTGTGTTCGTGTGGTGTGTTGTGTTGTGCCTACCAGTGACGGACAGGTTGATGGCTGCGCGGTTGGCGGTGCTGACGAGTGTCTCCCATGAGGGCACCTTGCCGTCGTTGTCAGCGATGAGTTTGTCCTTGACCGGGCTCAGACGCGCCTTTAGCTCCTCACACGCCAATCTACGTCCATCCATCCGTCCATCCATCCGTCCGTCCGTCCGTTGATCACACACGACTCACTCACCTGACCGCCTCGGCACTGCACAGAGGCCCCACCATACACACACACACACACATTTCGTTCATCGATGTGACTGATTGTGTTGTTTGTTTGTGAGACGGTCACTCACTTGGTGCCCGACCCGACGGAGCCGCCTGTTCCTCCGAAGTTGGGAATTGTGTGCGTGTTGGTGTCGCCGATCACTATCTTGTCTATAGGCACACCCAGCGTCTTGGCAGCCACCTACACACACACACACACACAGATACACATACACACACAGCGAGTCAGGACTGAATGTGTGCTGTGCAGTGGCTGTGTGTGCATCTGTGTGTGATGTGGTGTGGTGACTTGACCAGACCTGTGTGACTTTGGTGAGGAGGCCCTGGCCCATCTCGACGCCGCCCGAGAAAATGAGAACCGTGCCGTCCGCAGACACATTCAGCAACGCGCCAGCCGGGTGCCACCTGAACAGCACAGCACAGCACAGCACACATGAGCAGCACAGCTCGGAGATCGTCCGTGTGCGACAGGGAGACGCTTACCCGACGCCATATTTGACAGGCGTAATGGCAAGGCCACGCTTGCGCCACCTGCACACAATGTATCGATCGCACCAACAACATCATAGTGCGTATGAGCGGTTGTGGGTGTGTGTGCGGCGGTCGTACCGGTTAGCGGCATTGTACTGCTCAATCTCGGCAACTCTGTCAGCGTAGCCAGCTTTGTCCTTGACGCGGGACCACACCTACACCACACACACATACACACACAGACACCATCCATGTGTGTGCTATGCCTGTGCCGTGCTCTTGTCACCGTGGGCATGGTGTAGTGTTCCAGGGGCTGTCCAGTGGGGCTGACGGCGTTGCGCAGAGAGTACATGTTGAGCTCTCGAACGGCCTCGGGAGTCTTGCCCACTTGGCGGGCCACATCCTAATGACCATGCATGAGAGTAAGGATGTGTGTGTGTGTGTGTGTGTGTCAATGAATGCGCAGATGTCGGCGTACCTCGATGACGCACTCGATGATGAACGCTGATTGGATATGTCCAAAGCTCCGCACAGCAGTGTTGGACGGCAAGTTGGTCCTACACACACACACACCACAACACGTCACGTCAGAGTGTCTGCCTGCCCGCCCCCCCGTGCATGCCATGCCCCCTCGCCCACCTGCATGGGAACACCCTGCTTCGCCAGTTGGGCACGTAGTACACGCTATCCAGCGCCTCATTGTACTCGTGGCACACCCCAATGCTGTAGTCCAGAGTGCACCCCGCATTCTGGTAGCTGCTGATGTCCAGAGCCGTTATCACGCCCCCACTCGAGTACCCAACTCGGTAGTCCGCCAGGAACGGGTTCCTCCCCCCATTCATGGTCATGTCGGTGGTGATGTCGGTGGCCATCCGCACAGCAGTCTTCATTATCTTGGCGCCGATCATGCATGCACAGGCGGCCGGGAGCATGCGTGTGAGCTTGCCCCCGTATGCGCCGCCGACTCGCCTGGCGACCACGTTGATGTGGTGTGGTGGCGTGTTGGAGGCGCTTGAGACGCATCTTCGGGCGAGCTGTGGGTCCTGTGTGGATGAGTAGAGGGTGAAGCGTGTGCCGCCGTCGGCTGGAGTGCAGTAGGCGGTCTGCTTCTCCATGTAGAAGTGGGATTGGCCGCCACATGAGACGCGCCTACAGCACCACACACACACACACACACACACGGACGGCCAGAGGGTGTTGCTTGGATGGGAAGCGCCCACATGGTGTGTGTGTGCGTGTGTGTACCTCGATGCGACGTGTGGAGCGTTTTTTAACCCCTCCTCGACGTTGCCACTGGCGATCGTCTGCAGAGAGAAATCCAGACTGCATGACAACACACACACACAGACATGTCATTCGTGTGGACGTGTGTTCGTTTGTGTGCACGGTTGTGTGTACCTGTAGAAGCTCCTTTTGTCCATGGCGTCTTGGAGGGTGAGAATGGGCGTGGCTGTCGCTGCGCCATACTCCACCTCGACCAGGCGGGCAGCCTCGTTGGCCAATCGCTGCAGAAGCACCCACACCCACTCACTCACCCTTCTGCCCATAGATAGATGTGCGTGGCACGGATCGCAAGATACCTACCTGCGATGTGGCAATGACCATCCCCACCGGCTGCCCCACATAGAGCGTCTCCCTGCTCGCAAACACCTCCTCCCCGCCAAACCCCTCGGGAGTGTTGCTCCCCCCAATCACCGACACCACATCACTCGCACCCACAAACGCCTCCACCCCATCCACAGCCAGCGCCTTGTCCGCCTTGATGCCCTCGATCGTCCTGCAGCACCGCCCCGCCAGCACAAAGGCCGCATAGAGGTCGCTCTTGCCGCTTGGAAGGTCGTCGACGTACTCGGCTTCTCCTGCCGCCTGCTCGTGTCCGGCGAGCTTGGGGATGGCGTATGAGACGGGGTAGAGAGAGGGGTCCGGCTTGTACGCCTGATTGCCATCTGACACAGGGCGCTTGAGGGGCTCGATGGCTGAAAGGAGATGGGCGGGGAGGGACTTGCCGGCACCCTGTTCAGTCCAGCCATTGCAGGTACAGAGAAGGGTTGGAGTGTTTTGGGGTTGGAAGGCGGTCTCATCTCACTCGCCCAGCCCAGCCCACCCTGAGTGCTGTGTGCAGCATTGTGAGGACGAATTTGTAGAGGAAGGAGAGCAGGAGGCTCTCTCGGTAGGCCAGCTTGGCCTCGGGCTGAGTCACCGTCACGTACCTGCAGACAGAAACAGACAGAGAGGAGCGTGCACGCGACACACGACACACGACACAAACAGTGCCTTCGCGCCGGGACCCCGTGTGTGTCAGTGTACTCTGGCAGTGGTTTGAGCTTCATCTCCTTGAGCAGCTGCGCAGCTGCACTGGTGTACAGGGCCTGTATTCAGCAAGGGAACAGCCACACACAAAAGCAAAAGGGGTGGGGGTGGGCTACTTACGCACACACACCTGCACCAATCCAATCGGCTGGCTGACCTTGAGTGAGTCCTCTCCTTCATTGCTCATGGCGGCCTTGATGAGGTCAACATGCTTCAGCAGCTCACTCGTCAGCGGGGCGCTCAGTGCACGGCCATGGGGGAAGACCGACGGGTCGCCGCCAACTGCAGATATGCCATTCGTGGAAGATCCCGTCGGTGTGTGTGTCTGTGTGTCAGTGTGTCAGTGTGTCCAGGTGCCTCACTCACCTGCACCGATGACGATGCTGCACTGGGTGATGGTCGACGCGGTCAGTTTTGCGTTGAAGGCGGCGTTCAGGAGGGCGTGGGAGTTCTGAGGACGCAACTGAAACAAGACAACGAAAGGACACACCGACGGGACCCCCATGTCACACAGAAGTGTACACATCTCTGTCCGTCTCGCTGACTGACTCACCGCGGCCCTGAAGGTTCTCATGTGTTGATCTGCCCCGCTGGCCGGCAGGTGCAGCTGCCGCACAAAGGCTCGCTTGCCCTCGCCGAAACTCTCGGTCCGGACGAAGTCGAGCACCGTCATGACCCTCGTCTCGGGCTGCGCATGGATGGAGCCCTCCTCCTCTTTGCTGCTGCTGGTGGGGGTGGTGGTGGTGATGAGGTCGACCGTGAGAGTTGCATCGGCACCAGACAGGATGGTGGCCAGGTCGGAGGGGAAACCTGCACCCACACATCCTTTATATGCGTGTGTGTGGATGGATGGATGGGCGGCTGGACAGGCGGACCTTTCTCTCTGGCCATGACGAGGTTGCCCGCCCACGATGCGACGTTCCTCACGTGCCAGTTGGCCACCATGTGGATGTGCGAGGCCAGCACACCGTACTTGCTCGTCAGCTCCCCGCGCCGCTTGTCGTGTTCCAGCAGGAATGCCCGCAGCTCGGTGAGCGTGACGGCCGAGCCGATGTCGATCTGCTGCTGGTTGTTGACGTCAGTGAGGGAAATCTCGCCGAGTGATGGGATGGCGGAGATGTCGATGTACACGTCGAACTTCTCATTCTGGTACACGCCCATCATCGTGTTGCCGCGGACCAACTGAAGGCAGGAAGGAGGAATGTGCGTGAGACGGAGAGATGGGTGCTGCTGCGCTCCGCTGTGCTGTGTGGCTCACCTTATATGTGTCGGTGTCTTTGGCGGAGCCGATGAGCTGCCACAGCTGATTGAAGCTCACTACTCTGTACCAGACAATGCCCTCACGACCACCGTCGTACTTGTAACCTGAAAATACACACATGCACAGACACAGACACTCGTCAACGTGCCGACCTTGAAGCAATCTGCTCACTGACCTTGCCCCTCGACTTTCATGGCGAGCTCCTTCAGCGCCTTCTCTCTCGCAACGCTGTGGGCCTTCTTCATCCCACCCACTCGCACAGCCCGCCCCTTTCCGTTTGTGTCAATGTGGC